CCCCCCCAGCACCTAGGACATACATGTGCACACGTGTGTGCGCACACACACTAAACCCAGGTGTCTGATAAACAAACACCCCAGGTGTCATCCCCCTCCCCCCACACACACACTCAAGCATCCAGGACACCCCGACACCTGCACACACACACACACACACACACACACACAAACAAAACCCAGACAACAGGGACACCTGCACACACACACACACACACACAAACAAAACCCAGACAACAGGGACACCTGCACACACACACACACACACACACATGCATGCAAAGAGACCCCAGGCATCCAGGACACACACACACACACACACAACCAAGCGTTCAGGATGCGCGCACGCACACACACACAAAACCCCCGGGTATCCGGTACTCAGAACCCAGGCATCGAGGACATGTGCGCGCGCACACACTCACAGAAACACGTGGAACCCTGGCATGTGGGACACGCGTGTATTTCCCCCCCGGCGTCCAGGCACCTGGTCACACACCCTGGAGCACACGCACACTCCCCGGCCCCGGCCGCCTGCTCCCTCCCGGTTTCCAACAAAGAAGAGTCTTTTCTTCTCCGCCCGGCGCTGCTGAATAACGACTCGGGCCTCGCGGGGCCTTGGCCTTGGCCTTGCCCCTGCCCCGCCGGCACCGCTCCGGCCCCCCCAGCCAGGACCTCTGCCCCCTTCCCCTCCTGGCTCGGAGGGGCTCAGCCCGGGGCTGCGAGCTCCCAACCCGGCAGAACAAGGCAGGTGTGCTCAATGCTCTCGTCCAAGGGATTTTTGCCCCCAGCAAAAATGTTGGGACTGGGGAGGGAGAAGGGGGGGGTCCTCAACTTTAGTTCTTCTAGCCCTTCGGGCTCTCTGCAGCCGGGCATCAAGAGGGCACGGAGATCCCGGCTGGTGGCGGAGACTGGGAGGGACCTGCAAGGGTCGCATCCAGTCCAGCCCCTGGCCCGAGGCAGGATCAGCCCCATCCAAGACCCCCCAAGCCTCCCTCACCCCGTCCGACCTCTCCTCGAGCACCTCCAGGGACGGAGCGTCCCCAGCTCCCCGGGGCAGCCTGCCCCCTGCCTCCCGGCTCCATCCGTGAAAGATCCTACTTAAAAGCCTGCCCCAAAAGCTCCAGGGACCGTTAGTCCGGACCCTTCTGCCTCCAGCAAGGTGCTCCAGGCGAGGGCTCGGGGACGACGAAGTCCCAAATGATGGTACAAAACACCCCGGTGCTTGGACGGGAGGTGGGGGGACAAATTCATTCCTGGCCTCTCCAGACGAAGCCTGGGAGAGCCTGACCCAGGCACCACTTCTCCCCCCTGCCGCCCTCAGAGCACCCGAAGGGCAAGTCAGACAAAGAACCTATGATTTTTAGCATAAGATCCCATGATTTCAAGCCAGGTCTCGGGATTTGGACAGATTTGGGGGCCCCGTTCTCACCGGCTGCTGCAGAGAGCAGCGAGGTGCTGCAGCCCCGGCCCCAGCCCTTGCCCCTGTCCCAGGCAGGAAGGTCTGGGATAGGCTGAGACCAGGAGCGGGGGGTCTCTGTGGGCATGGACTA